TGACCCACTCAATGTGGATCATTTCTCTTGTACCCCTCTGGTGAGGATGCCAGATTCCTGAGTGCATGTGGGCTAATGGGCAACTTCAAAGAGAAGATCCTTTCAGGGAATCAGGGAGTAGGGTGGGCTAGGGTTAGAAGACCTGGCCGCCTCAGAGAAACATCAAGTCTCACCTCCACTCCCATCTTCTCTCATCCTGCCCCCTCTATTTAGATGTGGGCTTGTGCCCTGGGACACCTGGAAGCTGCTGTGCTCCTTTTCCGTTGGAACCGACAGGCGCTGAGCATTCCTGACTCTCTGGGCCGTCTACCCCTGTCTGTGGCTCATTCCCGGGGTCATGTGCGCCTTGCTCGCTGCCTTGAGGAACTGCAGCGACAGGAGGCTTCACTTGAACCCCAACTTGCCCTATCACCACCCTCCTCCAGCCCAGACACCGGTGAGGGCTGCCCCCAATCTTTTTGAGAGAGGGAGGTGGACAGTTGGATAGGCCAGGACAAAGCCAAAGGATGGGATACAGAGTGAGGGAGGCGGCAAGTCGAGGAGGAGGCAGGGTGGTAAGATAACAGGAGCAAGAACAGACAGACTGAGCACAAGGATGGGGAGGCAGGAGGGTTGACTGATGGCTCCTGCTGCCCTCACCCTCTTCCCTCACTAACAGGTCTGAGCAGTGTCTCTTCACCTTCGGAGCTGTCGGATGGCACTTTCTCTGTCACATCAGCCTATTCTAGTGCCCCAGATGGCAGTCCTCCCCCTGCTCCTCTTCCAGCCTCTGAAATTACCATGGAGGAGATGGTCCCAGGCCAACTCTCCTCTGGTGTCCCGGAGACCCCCCTACTCCTCATGGACTATGAAGCCACTGCCCTCAAAGGGCCCTTACCCTCTTCTCCTGCCCTCCCACCAGCCCCAGATGATGTGGCTGCCCCAGAGGATGCTGACAATCCACGGACTGTGGATGTGATCCCGGTACCATTTATGTTGGTGGAACTATGAGGGCTAGAAGTAGAGTGGTATGCACAGGTGGGGTGAGGCAGACTTCCATGAAGCAGAATCAGGGTCTAGCTGCAGGTTGGTGAGAGGGGGCCATTTACCTTTATTTTGGGACAGGCATGGTAACCCTTTGTTAGCTCCTTTCAGATCTTGTGACTCAGAAGTCATGAGACAGCAGAGGTTAAAAACTTGGGGGTTATATCTCCAGTTAAAGCTGGGTTGTAGCCAGGCTCGGGGGTTCAGCCTGTAATCCCGCACCTTGGGAGGCTGAGGTGAGTGAACTGCCTGAGCCCGCGGGTTCGAGACCCGCCTGGGCAACTTGGTGAGACATCATCTCTACAACAAATCAAAAAATTAGCCGGGTGTGGTAGCGCACACCTGTAGTTCCAGCTACTTGGAAGGCTGAGGCGGAAGGATCGCCGGAGCCCAGCAGGTCGAGGCTGCAGTGGCCGGGAGCGGCCACTGCACTTTAATCTGGGCGACAGAGTGAGACTCCAACTCAAAAAAAAAAAAAAGCTGGGTCGTAGGGTAACCTGTTGATCCATGAAGAGTCAAGGTCCTTGGGGAACCAAGTGATGAAGGACAGCTGGGAGGTGTGCGAAGAGGTGAGGTTAGCAAGATAGACGTATTTAGCAATGCTCTGGGGTGGGAAGGAGGCTTGCACATGGCAAAAGCTAAGTCTTAGGGAATGAATGAATGAAAGTCAATCTTCAAATGTAGCCTTGTACTTCTCTGCTAAAATCTGGGGACATATCTGTTTTAGAGAGGCTAACGGAGTAATTGGATACCACTATAAGTACAAAAAACTCCACAAGGTAGCCTGTGTTGATTGTGGCCAGCAGGAAATGCTGCAGGCTTCAGGCTTGGAGCAGAGGCTAGGCTGGAATCATTCAGCTGGTGGTTGTGTAATTGACAAGCATTGGGCTGGTTCTTGAAGAGCTGAAGAGTGGTGGGATGCTGGGCAAGGCCAAGCCTGTGCAGAGGATGTGCCAGTTGGCTGGCATGGGGCAGATCCAGGCAGGACAGGGGGTGGTCACGCTGGAAGAGTGTCAAATCCTTCATTTGCTCAGCTTCCAAATCCCCATTTGGAGTATGTCCTTCTTATCCTATGTTCTCTACAACATCTCAGCACAGAAGGCTGTATTCCCAAGTGGGAGCCCAGTAAGTATACACGAATGAATCTGGAAAGACAAGGTTAGCAGGGAAAGCAATCAATTCCTGAGTCCTTGGCATCTGGTGGTAAAAGAACTAGATTAGGAGTGGACTGAGGTTACAGCTTTGGCAGGGCAGGAACATCTAGCAGTTGGGACCCCTAGGGGCTCACTCAGATTTTCCTTTCATCCAGGTGGATATGATCTCACTGGCCAAGCAGATCATCGAAGCCACACCAGAGCGAATTAAACGAGAGGACTTCGTGGGGCTGCCTGAGCCAGGAGCCTCAGTGCGGGAGCGGACAGGGGCTGTGGGGCTCAGTGAGACCATGTCCTGGCTGGCCAGCTACCTAGACAATGTGGACCATTTCCCCAGCTCAGCCCCTCCCAGGTGACCAGTTCAGGACAAAGCCCCTCCAGATTCTTCTTCAAAGGAAAATGGGAGGAAGAGAGGAAGCTGGTTTCCCACAGCCAGAGCTCCATACTGGCTGAAGCCCTAGGGCCTTTGAGAAGGGAATTGAACTGGCTAATGAACTCTGAAACCATTATCTCCAGACTCAGTTGCTGGGGTTTTCCTTCAGAGCAATCCCTAAGTGGGAGAAGAGGGACTTCAGATGTTCCGTGACATCCTTTCTCCCTATCTCCTACAGCGAACTGCCCTTTGAGCGAGGTCGTCTGGCTATCCCTCCAGCACCTTCCTGGGCAGAGTTTCTCTCTGCATCTACCAGTGGCAAGATGGAAAGTGATTTTGCTCTGCTTACACTATCAGATCATGAGCAGCGGGAACTGTATGAGGCAGCCCGAGTCATCCAGACAGCCTTCCGAAAGTACAAGGTTGGGGGCCAGGGGTCTTGGGTTGAATTACACGCTCTAAAGTTATGGGGGACTGGACTGCCAGGGCTTTTGGAGGAAGATCAGTTATGCAGCCGTGCCTCAGGGTAAAGGGTCAGGGGAAACCCAGGAAAGCTGGAAAGACAGGTTGGGTGTCTGTCAGGTGGGCCATGAGTTGCTGAGCCTTCCTTCTCTTCTCTCAGGGCCGGAGGCTGAAGGAGCAGCAGGAGGTAGCAGCAGCTGTGATCCAGCGCTGCTACCGAAAGTACAAGCAGGTGAGACCCTTCTCCCCCAAAAGTATGCCCACCAACCCACACACACCCATTCCAGCCCAGAGCATCCAGAATGCTACCAGAGCCCTAACTCCCCTTCTCTCTCCACAAGCTGACCTGGATTGCACTGAAGGTATTAGGCATGAGATCTGGGTGTGAGGTTGTCTGTGATGATTCAGCCTTTCCATGAGTGTGTGGGATACAGAAAGATTTGCATCAGCCTAACTTGGGGGTGACCTCAGGATTTTTGGGTCTCTATCCCTCCATTTCAGCCCATCCCTCCTCCCCATCCCTGCAGTTTGCACTCTATAAGAAGATGACCCAGGCGGCCATCTTGATCCAGAGCAAGTTCCGAAGCTACTATGAACAGAAGCGATTTCAGCAGAGCCGCCGAGCAGCTGTGCTCATCCAGCAGCATTACCGCTCCTATCGCCGCAGACCGGGGCCTCCCCACCGGCCCTCGGGCACCCTGCCTGCCCGTAACAAGTATGGCCCATCCCCCCAGCCCTCTATACCTACCCATTGGGTCCATGCCAGTTCCCATTACTCATCAGCTTGCCCCCTGCCATTTCCTGCCTGGGGTTCCTAAGGAGCTGAGGGCATAGGATTCCTGAATGTCCTGTGAGGTCCATCTTTTCTTTCTTCCTTCAGAAGCTCCTTTCTCACCAAGAAGCAGGACCAGGCAGCCCGGAAGATCATGAGATTCCTGCGGCGCTGCAGACACAGGTACTTACTCCTTCTGTTCCTGGGTTTTTGCCCTGCCACCTCCCAGATCCGCCAGCCTCCTTTGACTCCTTCCTTGTCTCTTTGCAGAATGAGAGAATTGAAGCAGAACCAGGAGCTAGAAGGGCTTCCCCAGCCGGGACTGGCCACTTGACCTCTCCACTGCCTTTCTCACCACCGTGGGGGCTCTTCTTGCAGTCTTAACAGGGAGAGGACTTTCTGGGGCAGGGGGAGCCCCTGCGGCAGCTTTCCCTTTCATCTTTGTTGGAGCCCTTCAAAGACCTCCTCCCAACCCCCTGCTCCTGGAACACCTCTCTCCTCTTCCCTCCTGGTGGTGCCCCGTCTCTTTTGGCCCTTGGCTCCAGAAAACCCATGCCCCACATACCTGCATCTTCAGCTGTGACCTACCTGCCTGCCCCTTCTCAGTTTCCTCCTGCCTGCACCCGACTCTTCCCCTTCCTGACTTGCCTTATTTATTTGTTCGACGCGTCTCTGAATGTATCCGCCTCGGTCCCCACCTTTGCCTTCGCTGCGCGCGCCCCTCGTGTTTCCGGGCTGACCGTGCCCCCCCCGCCCCGACTCCGCATGTTTGCGTCTGTTTTCTCCCTTTCTGGCCCTGTCTTCCCCCATCACCCCGACTCTGGCCACCAACTTCGGGGCCAAAGGGGAGGGGGTGTACATAGGGACGCGTTGCAGAGTCCTGCTCCCATTCTCCCGAGGGGAGTGGGCTTGTACATACTGTAACATACAGAGTATAGTGAAGAATCTATTTAAGGAGCCGCGGGGAGGGCACCACGGCCGTGCTTGTAGTTCCCTGGCGCGGCTGAGGCCTCCTGCCGGCTCCACGAGCACTTTCTACTTGTGCATGGGCTTGGTTTATACGAATTGCCATTAAACATCGCTGCACCAGTCAGCCTCCAGCGTCTCTGTTTGCGGCGGGGCGGGGCCTCGATCCTGCGGGGAGGCGGCCAATCACTACGGACTTTGGATCCGCGCCCGGGCCTGGCGAGCGCGGAGGTTTTCCACCGCCGACGTATTTCCGGCCTTAAAGCTATTTCGCCCTTCCCTTTAAGACGCACCGCCCCCTCTCAGTCACTCCCAAGATGGCGGACCTACTAGGCTCCATCCTGAGCTCCATGGAGAAGCCACCCAGCCTCGGTGACCCGGAGACTCGGCGCAAGGCCCGAGGTGAGGATCCCAAATTCACAACCGCCTTTCTTCGCCCGGTTCTCAGGACTGTATTATTCCCTCTTTGAACGATGCTGTCTTCTCAATCTTGAAAGACCCCTCATAGGCCCCTTCAGAGACCCTCGAAGTCCCTAAAAGGGCTACCGACACGCCCACTGCTTTTAGCGGACGATGATTGGTTACTTGAAAACTAGCTCCAGCCTCCAGCCTCTCCTGTCGACCCGGGCGTTCAGCAGTCCTTGTTTTCAATTCGCCGGCCGGCCCGCTTGTGAGCTACTGGCCTACCCTGATTGGTAGGCTGCCTCCAACCCGCTTCATCCCTGTTCCACCCACCTCTAGCTCTATTCCGATTGGGTTGGGGACTCGCCCATCCACAATCCTTCCACCCTTATTGACCAGCTAAACTTAAAAGATCTACCTCCTCAGGCTTGTTCTAGCTTCCTTCTGACCCACCCCATCCTCAGCTTCTCCCATTGGTTGCTGGGTCTTCTGGGTGTCCTCTTGCCCCTCCTGCTTGATTTAACCCTGTCCCTTCTGCCTCCCTCTAGAAACCTTTTCCCCATCTGTAGCCCGGGCGAATGTTGATTGGAGAAATGAATGCCCACCGGGTCCTGTTGGCTGTGGTCTGCCCGCTTGTGTTCTCTGAGTAGCTTCCCTACCGGCGCACTGGGGTTTGGTGGCCGGAGTAGGGCGCGGCCCGGTGAGGCGGTCGAGACTTCCCCAGAGTGGCTGGAGCTGAGGCGTGAGAATGAGTCTGGCCGAATGCAGGACCCCAGCTTCCAATTCTGTTGGCCTTGACTGTAGACGAACCTGGGGGATTAGGGCAGGCGGGATGCCTTCAAAGTATTCCCTTCAAAGTATTCAGCAATGGCTAAACATAGTCCCTTATTTACTGAACGATTGTTAGGAACCAGAGGTACCCTTCAAGGAGCCAACAGTCCGGGGCTGAGACTGTCGTTGATGGAAAGATCACACAGAAGTTTAATAACTAACTTGACAAGTGCTCTGAGACAAAATTATGAGAGTAGCTATTTGTGTGTCCTAACCTAGCCTGCAGAGAGCCAAGATCTGAAGAATAGATAATTCGGTAAGTGAGAGGGAAGCAAAGTGTTACAGGCAGACGAGATGTCTTTTTGAAAGCTCTGAGAAAGGAGGGAGCATAATAGGAATGGGGAATTGGAATTATTTAATGCTCAGATGACTGTCTAGGTGGGGGATCACCCGAGACATTTGACAGACTGGGAAGCTTGAGTTAGAATTTAGTCACTTGGCTGAGGTCACATGGTTAGTAAGTTTTAATCCCAGGTGTGCTTTAAAGCCTTTGTTCTTTTTTTCTTTGTCTTTTTCTTCTTTTTTTTTTTTTTTTTGAGTCACTTTCACCCAGGCTGGAGTGCAGTGGAACGATCACGGAGCTCAGGGCTCATAGCTGCCTCAACTTCCTGGGCCTAGGCAATCCTTCCACTTTAGCTAATTATGTATGTATGTATGTATGTGGAGATGAGGTTTCACTATGTTGCCAAGGCTGGTCTCAAACTCCTGGGGTCGAGCAGTCTGCCTGCCTCAGCCTCCCAAAATGCTAGGTTTACAGTCTTGAACTACCTTGTCCAGCCTAAATCATATGTCTTAATCATAATCTATGCCACCTCCCCAGATGCAGAGAAGACTCGAAATCCAGTTAGAGAACAGTCATTGGCCAAGATGGGATGCACTGATGGTCAGTGGGGACAGAGAGATGAGAGCTAGGCTGTCAGGCTCTGGGACTCAGAGGATAACTGGACAGGAGAACAGGGTTCCTGCCTTCCAGGAGCTCATAATCTGCTAAGGGAGACGAACATAAAAAGTTATGGTATGTTAGTTGTCAGTCCATGTCATAGTGGGTGTCTGAGCCAAAAGCACTCGGAGCCCAGAGGAAGATGTGGGTAATAACTTTGACCCATGGTGGATCTCAGCATCTGCAAGAGGAGGAAAAGCATTCTAAGCAGAAGGAACAACATGTGCAAAGGCATGAAGTAAGTTAAAAAGCAGGAGGAGGGCAACCCCTCAGGTCCCTTCCCTCTGTGAGAGCTTTTCTGTCCTCTTAATGAATCCTGCTTTAAAAAAAAAAAAAGCAGGAGGAGGCTCAGTGCAGCTGAAGGTGATTCCGATTCTGTGGAAGAAGTGGGCCTTAAGGATTTGAAATGGCAGGAGAGGGCAGAGGGGGCATTTCAGGTGAGGAGCAAGAATAGGAAGAAGACTGTGCCCAAATCTCAAGGGACAGTAAAATCACATCATAAGGAAGGCAGGCAGGAGCGGAGGGGCCAGGTTAGAAATGCACCCTCCTCTCCCAGAGGTAGAGGAGTTATGGTGCAGAGGCAGGATCTGAGGAAGAGGAAGAAAGTTAAATAAGATCCAAGGGTAGAGAGTTCCTTTGCAACTAACCTTGGACACCTACACTCACAAAGGAAAAGAGTGTCAGATTAGCCATTTCAGCTTCATCTTGTCTGCAGAAGTGGGAAGTGGGGGTGTTACAAAATATAGGAAGTTAAATAATTTCCCCTTTCCTATATAGACAATGACATAATAGACTCTGTAAGGCCAAGGGCTTAGTCTGTTCTCCTTACCTCCCCAGATGCCTTATAGTTCTTTGTATGCGGCCGGCATTAAAGAAATATTTGTTAATTGGTTTCCTCAGTGGAGTTGGGAAAGGGGGTTAAGCATGATTCTGATCTTTGTAATTCCCACTAAATTTCGAACCCTTTAAGGGCCATGCTGTTTTTGTTTTGTTTTGTTTTTGAGTTTGGAATCTCACTCTGTCGCCCAGGCTGGAGTGCAGTGGCACACTGACAGTCACCGTAGCCTCAACCTGCTGGGCTCAGGCCATCCCTCCGCCTCAGCCTTCCAAGTAGCAGAAATACAGGCACACACCACCACACCCAGCTAATTTTTTTTTTACTTATTGTAGAGACAAGGTCTCACCAAGTTGTCCAGACTGGTCTCGAACCCCTAGGCTCAGGTAATCCTCTTGCCTAGGCCTCCCAAAGTGCTAGGATTACAGGCTTGAGCCATTACATCCGGCCATGCTGTGTCTTAATCATCTTGGTACACCAGGGTCTAGCATGGTGCCAGGTACAATAGTCCCCCTTTATCTGAGGTTTTGCTTTTCAAGATTTTAGTTACTGTGGTCTGAAAATACTACATACAATAAGATATTTTGGCACATGCCTGTAGTTCCATCTACGCGGAAGGCTGAGGCAGAAGGATCGCCTGAGCCCAGCAGGTCGAGGTTGCAGTGGCCGTGAGCAATGTGCCACTGCACTCCAGTCTGGGCAACAGAGTGAGACTCTGACTCAAAAAAAAAAAAAGATATTTTGAGAGAGAGACAGACAGACACTAAATGGCTGGGTACAGTGACTTACTCCGATAATCCCAGTACTTTGGGAGTCTGAAGCAGGAGGATTGCTTGAGGTTAGGAGTTCAAGACCAGTGTGGGCAACATAGTGAAACCTTCTCTCTACAAAAATTAAAAATTGCCAGGCTCGGTGGCTCAGCCTGTAATCCCATGCCTTGGGAGGCTGAGGTGAGTGGATTGCCTGAGCCTGCGGGTTCGAGACCCACTTGGGCAACTTGGTGAGACCTCATCTCTACAATAAATCAAAAAATTAGCCGGGTGTGGTAGCACGTGCCTGTAGTTCCAGCTACTTGGAAAGTTGAGGCGGAAGGATCGCCG